TTTATTTGGTATAGGGTCTTGCTTCACAGCTCAGACTCGTAGTGATCCTCCTGTTTCAGTCACCGTGGTGCTGGAGTGATAGGTGTCTACCACCATGCCCAGTTTCGGTGACCTGTACAGCGCACCTGGGGTTCTGGGGCCAGCTCAGCATGTGGTACCAGGGATTGAACCCAGGTCCTTGTGCTTGCCAGGCAGGTGTTTTTCCTACCAAGCTATCTCTCCAGATCACCCTCTGTCCCTCCCTCCCTCCCTCCTTCCCTTCCTTCCTTCCTTCCTTCCTTCCTTCCTTCCTTCCTTCCTTCCTATTTTTCTGAGACAAAGTCTTGCCATGTAGTTCAGGCTGACCTCAAACTAGCAGTGTCCTCCTGCCTTGGCCTCCCCAGGTGGTGGGATTATTGGCACATACAGCACCATGCCAAGCACATCAGTCTTCTTTGCAGACTGATATTTTGCTTTCAAAGCTGTGCCTTTGAGGTTTTAAGCTGTGATGAAAATGGGTAGCCTAGACAGCTTAGCTGACACATCTGGCCTGTGTATAATTTACCAGTCAAAATCAAAAGGACAAAAGAAAGGCATTGTACCTGGTGGTTTTCCTCATTTCGGTCCATGGTTTACTGCATTTTCTGCTGTCTGAGCTGTGAATCAGCAGCAGTTCTCTATGACCTCATGTTCCCCTAACGCAGTCTTTTTTGTTTGCTTCTAGTAGAGGAGAATATAGTAAAGAAGAACAGACATTTAACTTGCATGTTGCTCTGTTCTTGTAGAAAACGCCGCCCATCATTAGTGACTAAGTCTTACTGAACTCCATCAAGAGAACTCAGGATGACTTTTTCAGGATGAGGATTAGACGCTTGGGATGTAGAGGAGAAATAGAGCTGGCATCTGCCACACAGTCTTGTAGCTCTCTGCTATGTGCTGCAAAACTGTTAGGAATGAAAGGATGTAAGTCCTGGTGTGGTGGCGCACATCTGTAGTCCCAGCACTAGGGAGGCAGAAAACAAGAAGATCACTAGGAGTCCAAGCTGCGTAGTGAGACCCTGCATCAAAAAAACCTTTCTGGGCCAGCCAGATAGCTCAGTGGAGTAAAACACCTGCTTAGGCAGAGCGTAGTGGCCAGGGTTCTATCCCAAGCGTGCCGTGCTGCCCGCCCCCGCCTCACCTCTGGGGCATGCTGAGAGGGGGATTGAAGCTGGGCATGGTGGTGCAGGCCTATAATCCCAGCGCTTGGGAGGCTGAAAACAGGATGATCACTACAAATCAATCTATGTAGTGAGAACCTGTAGACCTTTTGTTCTAAATACATTTAAAAAAAAAAAAAATTGAAGGAATGAAAGTAAATAAGTTAGTGCAGTGAAAAGCTCAGATAATGACATTAAAATGCTCAAGAGGTATTTATATTTGTTAGTTTGCTTTTGTTATACATTAAAGTTTGCCTTTGTTAAATGCTTACCTAGTCTAACAATCAAAATGATACTATGAAAAGATACGAGCACACAGAAAGTCCTCTCCCCACGCACTGTATTTCTCTAGACCCCCAAGAATAATTTTGACTAGTTACAAGAACATTTAGAGAATTTTTATCTTTTTTTTTTTT